TTATTTAGCATGATTGTTATAATATTTTAAGGGTAAGAAAATAAATTAGTTTTAAAACCCCTCCTCTCCCCCTGGGAACCAAACATATATTTGAATAAAACTTCTCCCTCCCCTCCCCTCCCCCTCTTATGAACCAAACATACGGTTAATTAAAATACACCCCCTCACCTCCCCCTCTTATGAACCAAACATACAGTTAATTAAAATACATCTCCTCCCCTCCCCTCCCCTCCCCTCCCCTTTATTAAAATCCCTCCCCTCCCCTCCCCTCCGTTGAACCAAACGGACCCTAAACAAGCACATGGAAAATAGTAAGTCTTCCTAAGTGTACATCCACACTTTGAGTTTTTTGAACCTGTTTCATCCGCTCGCTTGGCTTAATGAAAAACAAAATTCAAAGTTGCCCGAGATACATTTCCAACCAATTGTGAATAAAGGATGTTGTCTTTGAATCGATGTTCTAACATAATAATGCTCAAACAAAAAGATGTATGTATCTCATTATGTTGGTTTCAGAGCATTTGACCCACAACTTTCCAATCTCGACAAAAATCAACTTTATCATTTCCCAACCAATTTTTCAGTCTAGCATGTGCAGATTCAAATATGTTAGTTATTGTATTGCCAAAGTGTCGAACCTAACCGGTCCATTCACAAACAATATTCTATTTTACCTAGTCTAAAATCGTATCCTTAATATATTTAAGCAAATCTGAATATATCGCACACACACATATTATGTGGAAGAATTTATAATAGAATTCCATGCATCCATTAATTTTTCCACCACCACACCAGGTTTGACAAGTTTTTCATCTTCACGGTTGACTTGTTTTGTGCCAACCATAAGTTTTACTCGACTTCTCACATTTTTGGTTATGTGATACTTGTAAACTAACATGGACGATGTAGGAAACACCGTTGTAACCGCATTCATCAGTGCGGTGTCTCGCCTAGTGAGTATGACTTGTGACATGTTTTCTCGATTATTCAACATAATCTTTCACATTTCAAAAAATACAAAACTGACTGAATGAGTCATCTCCGTAGAAGTAACACCAATAATTTCTAGGAGTGGAAGTCTATACTTATTTGTTTTGTATGTTGAGTCAATTATGAGCATGGATGGAAATATGTTGAACAAATTGACGGAATCAGGATGACTCCAAAATATATCTCGAATGATGACTTTATTCTCACAAACTTTTTACCTCAAAACATAGTGGTCATCATTTAAAAGCTTCAAGAGTTGTTCCATCTCAGATCTTAGTCCCCTTACGACCTTGTTGTCTCGAGCACGTACATTGTATATTTGCTTGATATTTGAAATATTTATAGGTATTTTCATAACTTTTAATTATTTTGACATACTTTTTTTTCTCTTTTCATAATAAATTGATAGGGGTAATTTTAACAAAACTATAATCATTACTACTTTGAACTTTGTAAAGGACAATTAAAAAAATAAATAAAATTATCACAAAAGTGACAATTAAAAAGGAACAGAGGGAGTAGTTATTAGTAAAATCACTAACTACATATTTATACACATGAGTAAATCTTATGATATTTTGGGTTAGTGGGAGTTCATCAATAGCATTTTCATATGTTTGAGTCATTCTTTAATAACATATTTCTCTTAACTTAAATATGTTACTCTAAATTCATCATTTTTTATAGGGTTAAATATGTTTGTGATCCTTATAAATATCTCGAATATCGTTTTTAGTCCCTCAAAATACTTCATTCAAAGAATAGTTCTCCCAAAAATTTTCATATACATTTTTGTTACCTAATACTAAAACTGTCGCTAAAATTGTAGTTAATTCAATCGCTAAGTAACAAATTGTCGCTAAAAATGTCGCTAATTCAGTCACTAAGTTGTAAAAACCGTCGTTAAGTTGCATGAGGGACCAAAAGTGTAGATGAAAAGTTTTAGGAAGACTATTTTTTGAAGGAAATATTTTGAGGAACTAAAAACGAAATTTGAGATATTTAGAAGGACAATAAGCGTATTTAACCCTTCTTTATATAAAATATGAGTTTTAACATGTATGATTTGTTTTCTCTATCAGATACTGCAACGTTGAAGCTTACTTCTCTTTTGGTTGGTTAGTGCTTTGGCCATAATTGGTATTCTAATATTAAAATTAATATTTATTAATAATTAATTATTGTCATCCAAGTAGGAGATTGTTGAATTAATTATGTAATTAATAAAATATGGATTGACATGATTAATTATTAATAAATTATATTATGGTCAATTGTTATAAAACACTAATTATTGATGAATTACTTGATTAAATTTTGTGCCTGAATAAACTGTGATGTGTTGAACCATTTAGTTAAGCTCAATGAGAGGTCTCTGCCTTTAGTCGTTTAGTTATTTAAGTGTTGTCCCCATTAGACGCTTAATATACAGTGAAAACCCTAAACGACAATGAGGGTAATAATCCTCTCATAATCAATGATTGTTTCTCCAATCCTACCCGATATGCGTTGTCGTTCTTAACTACTCTCTAAAATAATAATATGCTATAATGTGTATCTACCAATTCTCAATTTTAATCTAAATATTAAATCTATCAAAAATCTTATTAACGAGTACTTTTATAGTAAAATATGATAATCTAATCCATCGATTATTAAATATAACTGAAGGAATAGATCACTAATTTAAAAATAAAAAATAAAATAATAAGAAAGACACCACTTTTAAAGAAATAAAAACATAAACTTCTGTTGCTGGAATTCAAAGCATGTCCTAAATTATTTTTTTCCTCGATTATATTTAGAAACCGAGAGAATATGTGTTATTTATTTAAAAATAAAATAAAATACGACGCCCCTTGCCATTTTACCTCGATTTTGGTTGGGTGAAGTTTGTCATGAAATGTATTATTTGTAGTAGTGCATCCCCACTCACAATAGCTTTGAGAAACATATCTGGGTGCACCATATTTAATACCACCAACAACATAAAAATAGTGTGAAACCTCAAACTTTCAGGACAATCTAGAGATACACATTCAGACCACATCTAATTTTGTTTGAAGATGCAAATCCAAATTCAACGTCAACTTTTTAGCTCATAAACAATATTAATGCAATGAATGAGGGATGAAATGAATAAACTTTACCTTCAATTCCAACGTGTTTTATTCCTTTTGATTTGATGAAATATAAAAATGATGTTTTAATGTTGAATAGGTGATTGAGAATAAAATAAACTTTTTAAATGAACGACAAATATCTGTTTAAGGACGGTCAAGAAATTGAATAAACATGCTTATATTTTACCTCATTTATTACTCAAAACCGAGGTGAAATGTGTTTCTTTTTAGATAAAAAAATACAATAAAATATGTTCCATCCAAGCGCCACATACCTCTTAGTTTCTGTTAAAAACCGAGGGGAAAAACTTTTTATTTTTTATTTTTTTATAATTACATTGTTTACACAAAATATTAAAATAAATTGTTTAAATAAATCAAGATTTTGACAATAGATTCTTGAAGAACAACATATCATTTCAAATTTCTGATGAATTATTTGTTCCAACTAAAATAATTTTTTTTTTCTGTACTTGCAATCCATCCAAGGGAGATTTCATTATCTTGAGCAAATATTTTTATGGCAAATGCTTTCACATGAAAGAGAAATGTATGATTGTGTTTAAGAATGGATTTCTAAATGCCGTCAACCGATGAAATTAATAAATTTTTCAATGTTTTCTTTGATTGACAACATATAAAGGTTATTTCAAAAATACAAGAACAACATCAATATCATTATGTGAGATAGATTATAAGAGCAATTTTTTTTTTTTGTTTAAGATAGAAGAAAATTAGAGATTTTTTCTGTTTTGTAATCCATCAAAAAGAATGATGCGCATGAGTTTGGAGCGGCTTCATATAAGTTAGGTTTTAGGATAAAATCTTATTAACAAGTGCTTTTATAATAAAATATAATAATATAATATCTCTATTATTAAATATATCTGAAGGAATAAATCACTAATTTAAAAATAAAAATAAAATAAAATAAAAAAACATCACTTTTAAAGAAATAAAAACACAAACTGTTGTTGTTGAAATTCGAATTATGTCCTGAATTATTTTCTCTCTCAAAATTATAATTTGAAATTGAGGAAATATAAAAACATACGTGGTGTTGAATATGTGATTGAGAATGCACAAAACTTTTTAAAGAGTTTTGAAAATAGAGGGTTGGATAAGAATGAAGGAGAAGATCATGCAATATTGTGTTTTATTCAATTTACCATTTATCATTTTTGAATATGTATATTTGAAAATAGCACAGACTCATTTATTTAACTAACTCAATAAATTAAAATGAATTATTTCGAAGATGTACATTCATTATATTTAAATAGGATACGAAGATATATCTTCTGATTATTTTTTTTTCAAAATAAAATAAAATTTAAAAAGGCGCATTATTTTGATATAGTTTGAGTGCGTCCAAATATACATTTTCAAAAGTATTAAAAAAATATTTTCAAACTTTTGAAAATAGCAACCCTAAACAAAATCAACTACTTTTACGTGTTTTACATAAAATTTAGAAAATTATTCAAGTTGGAATTTATTTTCTTTTCTTTTTACATTAGTGATTGGATAAAATATTTGCAATCCACTTGTAATACAAGGGATGACAAGGCTAAACGGAATTCTCCTTCCACTACCGTCACGGTCACGGCTCAAATCTGCAGCACGTATCTCTGCATGACTGTTAATCACACTTCCAAGTTTCAGACGTTGAATGGTTGTTACCGCTTTCTCACCAAACAGCCAAACCCAAACTAAACCAAAACCACTCTCAATTCAACCAATCACTTTTCTCCCCTTTTCTTCCCATTCTACAATGCAAAACGCCAACACTCTTTCTTCCATTCGCACTCCAACCTTCAAATTCCACACGAAACTCTCATCGTCGCGGTTCCATTCATTCTCATTCCTCTTCTCACCGTCGCAATGTTCAGCTCCTTCTGGCGATCCATCGATCGATTCTCCATTCAACACTTCAAGTAAGTTCACTCGTTAGGGTTTTGATTTCAGATCTTGATACTCTGATTTTCTCTATGACGCATTTTTTAGGTTTTTCTTTTCTTGAGCATGCACTTGTTTATTTTGAATAGTGTTTGCTAAGAATTTTTTCGGTGCTAATGGATCTTCGACGTTGTTTTTCTTTCAGATGTGTAATTAGTGAACTGCAGAAAATTAAAGTTGTGAACAAGCATAATAGGGTAACACGAGTAAATCTGTCTGCAATTCATCCTCTTTTTTTAGAAAGTAAACCGTGATGTAATTATGCCTGGCGTTTGCTGCAGGAATATGTGGTGGATTTGTTGCAGTGTATTGTGGAGATAGTAACCTATGGTGATAGACAAGATCCTTTAATTTTTGAGTATGAATATGTGGTTGAAATTTCATTTTTGATACTGCTCTTATTTTGGCGATGATAGTTTGTGACTGATGATAGTAAACATTTAGATATTTCATGGAACACCAAGTGCTTGCGGATTTTGTTCGCATACTCAAGACTAGTGAAAATTCAAAGATTGAGGCACCACTGCTTCAGTATCTGAGCATAATGATTCAAAACATGGATAGCGAACAAGCAATTTGTAAGATAGTTAATATTTTTTGGTATCTCTGACCTGTTTATGTATACTTAAACTTGATATCCGAATAAAATATTCATTTTACAAAACAGTGTTACTCTTAAGGTTTTTCCTTAGTACTAGAACTTACTATGAATTGGTATTTCATGTTTGCATGTTGCAGACTATTGCTTCAGCAATGGTTATATTAACAACATTATTTCGCATCCCTACGAATTTGACGGGGGAGACTTAGCTTCATACTATGTGTCTTTTCTAAGGTTGTGATCCTTTTTGCCTTTCATATCTCTCTCTCTGCATTTGTTGGAAGTCATCTCTGCTTATAGATAGAGACATGCAGCTATATGTTCTAGCTTTTTCCTCCTAGTCTCTTCTTTTTAGGTTTTTACTTGGTTGCCGAGTAATATTATTTCACCACTCCTGTCTTGTTATCATAATTTAAAAAATAAATAACTTGTTCTTGGTTGATTTTCATTCAGGGCTATTAGTGGTAAAATAAACGGAGACACACTTTGCCTCCTTGTGAAGGTTCACGGGGTAAGCTAAAACTTATAAATGTAATGGTTTGTTGCTGTGTTCAATGTTCTAGTTGAGAAATATATCAGTTAAAATTATATATGTGCTTCCTGCCTTGTATAGTATGGGAAACCTTTTACATACTTGTGAATATGATGCAAGGGAGAAACCATTCCTTTTAGGTCTCTACTAGCGTTAAATATTTTTTGGTGAGAGTTAGTTGGTTTGGTAGGTTAGTTGGGTCGACATATTTAAAAGAAATAAGGCATGTTGTTTGAGAGGCATTTGTCTCGTAATTTGAGAAAATGTTGAGGCCTTTGGGCTAGGGTGGCGCAGGCCCTCAAAGTTCAACATTATTGTTTTAACCGTGGATATTATCTATGATCTTTCTAATAACATACCAAGCTTCTATCAACTATTAACTATGGCCTGTGGGAAGTCTGCATTGAAGTATTCAAATAGTGCTAAGGGTAAGCAAAATTGAAGAAGCATATTCTTGGATAATTAGATAACTAAGGAAAGAGATTGCAAATTTAGGAGAAAACTGACAGAAGAATGTTTTTGTTCTAAAAAAGGGAATATAATCTTGGGAGCTAGAAATGAAGGAAAAGATGAAGGATTGAACACCAAGAATCAGGATTGCAGTGATAGAAAAGAACGTTGAAGCTAGAATGATGAAACAAGAAAACACCAGGGCTCCATGAATAAGATGAGAGGCTGAGATGGAGATATTTCTTCTCTTTTGAGAATTTGTTGAGATCTTTGGTCTAGAGTGGTGTAGACCTTTGTAGTTATACAATGCTCTATTATAATGGAGATTATCCATCTTCTCTCTAATTAAATATCAAGGCTATCATCAACAATATTGTCAATTAACTTGTGTGAAGATGCCTTTTTGTCCAGCTGAATTCGGTAACAACTATTTAAAGATTCTCTTTGTTTCAACATTCAACTGCAGGATGCTGTAGTTTCCTTTCCCTTGTACACCGAGGCTTTAAGATTTGCTCATCATGAGGAAAAGATGATTCAGACAGCAATACGTTCATTAGTTCTCAATATATACAATGGTATACTGCTCCTATTTTGCTTTGAACTCCCTATAAGCATGCTCTGGTGCTGTATGTGTTTCTAAATTTTACAATGCTTTTGTCTTGGTTTTACAGTTAGTGATGACATGGTGTATCAATTTATATTGACTCCTCCGAATTCCGAGTATTTCTCCGACCTAGTTCATAGATTAAGAGATCTATGCTTCTGCTTAGACACTATTCTCTATGATAAAGGGTATTTTCACTTTAACTTAAAGAGATAATTCTTGTTGCTTTACATACGCTTGGATACTTCTAACTTCTGAAGAGCTAACTTCCACACATTGAAGCAGGGAGATGGAGACTCAAAAAAGAAAAAATGGGCTGATTCTTCAATCTGATAAAATTGTGGATGAACTGTACTACTTCAAAGACATTCTTAGTGTTGGCAAGCCACGTTTGACTAAACTGGTTACTGAAAATCTGCTGAATGGGCTTGTGTTTCCTGCACTATTCTCATTACTAGTTTCAAAAGATAATGATGTAAGCTGATAAGAAGACTTCATGTAAACTAGTCAACCTTGAATTTTAGGTTATTAGTTTTATACCATCTCTAGATTGACTTTAATGTTTAAGTATGTTAATCATGATCAGGTTGTTCCCGCCAAATCCTTAATGTTTAAACTATAATAGTAAATATTATGATTGAATGTGAATGCTTTCATTTGATATTCAAAACTTTATGCTCGTACTATTTTCATTTTCTAAATTTTGTTAGTCTTACTTGTTAACAAGAAGAAAAGAAACTGTTGAAGTGAACAATTATCTAGCATTTCTGGAAACAATGAAAATATCAAAAGAGCTATTTTCATTATTTTCTGAAGTGTTTTATCTTCTTTCCATCACAATGGCTCACTTTAAAAGATGTTTTCTCCTTGTTGACAAATAAAACTAATACAAGTTTTAGGAAATGAATATAGAAAATATTTACTAAAATTAATCGGGTCCTTCTTTTTCTAAAACATAGTTCTGTTTTTCTTGTAATTGGAAAGAGTGGAAAAAATCCTTCACAAAATCCCACTTCTTATTGTTAAGCATTTCTTACTTTTGAGTTCTGACTTGTAATTTAATGTCATTTTTGTTATATATTTAGGAAGAGGGGACTGTCACATTGTTACACTCCAATAAAATTTTCCCTAGTGTTTATGTTTTAGCTGATTCTTATGGTTTTCTAGCTAGTGAATTGGACAAAATCATTACAAAAAGAAATGAATTTAAACAAATATTGCTGGTGAAAACTCCTATATTCTAGTTGCTCTTGTCATAGATGACTTTTATTTCAAATTTTACCCACATGATGTGCTCATTGAAACATTTTCTTTGCCCCAGGAGTCAGGTTTATCTGCTGTCACTTCACTATATATTGTATCCCGCCTTCTTCAAATTGTTGGTGGAAGAAGCATTGTTAACAATGTGGCGTGTGTTATCTTGTATCATTTTTTGAACTTAAATGCGACAGTTCAGAGTGAAGGGAATGCTATTGACGACCATGACAATGTTAAACCTTTTGCAAAGTGCCTGAGTGAAATTGAAAGAACAATATGTTATGTTCCAGAGTTAAATGGTGCTGAGAGCATCACTGGGAACCATTTAGGTGCTCATTGGGAAGATTTCATGTCTGGTTTTAGAACTGATGAAATTTGTCCTAAAAGGTTGGTATTTTTGTTCTTCATATTTTATCATTGTTTCTTATGTGTAAATTCTGTTATAGACTTTATATTGTTGAGATTGTTTTGTTCTGCCTTTGGTCTTGATCATCCATTACTTTCCACTTGTTTGTGTATATATGCCTGAAAGAAGACCCAGAAGGAAGTATGGGAGATAAGAAAAGAAACCTTATTTCAATTGAAAGGATCAGGTTACTGGAAGAATAGTAAATGTGGACAAATGAAATTCCCAGATAAATAGTAATCCTTTAGAAGTAGTTGACATCAGGAGAAAGCATCTACTGAGGCTGACCATTTATGTATTACGATCCTGTGTATCTAAATGTACATATAATGAAATTGTTATCGTTGCAGGAGAGGACTGCTTGAATTTGTTTTCTCTGAGGATTGCAGACTATTGTTAGCATCTATATTTCTGTTGCTCATTTTGGCAGAAAGTAAAGGTATTGTTATTTCCGTCCCTTATGTATCCTAACAGTTGTCTTTTTGCATGTCATTAAATTAATTGTTTGTTGCTTTTTCATGCAAGTTTTGCAGATTTGGATTGTTTCTTATCTCCAATAATAGGGCTATATGGGACTGGGGATGTTATGGTAAGTATCCACTGAAATGAACTGAACAAGAAAGTCTTTAGAATGGCATACTAGTACTACAGCACATCCATTTCCATACCATGTTAAGGATCATGCATTTTTTCATGAATGTTGGTGTTTTTAACCATGCTGAAATATCTGTATGCAAGTACAATATTGCCTCCTAAAAATATTTACTAATGACTTCTGTTCTTGCTCACTCTCATATTTGAGGTTGCCAGGCTTCTATTCAATTCTTCTTTTAAAATTACTTTTTTTTTCCTAGTTACATACTCATTATTGGAGAAATTACAAAAAAGTGAAATCTTAGTAAAAGTTGTATGAATTTCATTTCTTATTTTGTGTACAGGAAATGATTTCATATCATATATTGACTACACCAATCCTGACTTTATTTTTATTTCGAAGTTGAGAATTAAAAATAAAGTCAGGATTGGTATAATCAATATATGATTTGAAATCATTCCCTATACACCAATTCTGACTAAAGAATTAAAGTAGAATAAAAACTGTACAAATCATATTTAATCAAATCTGTCTTAATTATGTGAACAAATCTCTATCAATTAATTATATTACACAACATTCCCCTTCAAGTTTGTGAATAGTCTACCATTGCCAGCTTGCAAGTAACATCTTAGCTGCTCTGTTGTAAGTCACTGTATGAACATATCTGGCAAGTGGCAACTGAAGCCCTGAAGGGATGAATGCTGCAGCGGCTAAAAGACCGCCGTCCAATATCTCCTTGATGAAATTACAAAAGGATAAAAACTGTACAAATCATATATCAACCAAATACCTTCGTTCATATATGAGACTGGAATAATGTCCTAATTATGGAAGCAAATCTTTATTATATTACACAACACTCATCATCAACAATCTGAACAAATTTACCGAGTTAGTGATTGATTATTCCCATACACGATTCATTTATACCAAATTATATTTCAAGTACTTTCCCCTGATTATTGAACTGAAAGCTGTTGGTGTTAGATGGGCCATGTTATTGAATGTGATTTCTTTTTCTTTCTTCTATTTGTTTCAGATGCAAACTAATAGTTCGTCAACTTCTAAGCCTGCAGATGGTAGTATCTTCACTAGATTTATGCCTGAGGTATATATAACAATGTTGATTTAAATCTCTTTGATCAATCTATTCTTGGTTATCATATTTGTTATGTTGTTTCAATTTTCTCAAATTTGGTTCCACATAGCATACACAATGGTAACGAAATAACCATGCCCTATTAAATTTAACAGATTGTAAACGCCCTCCTGAAAGTTTTGGGCTTCCAACAATCTCTCTCTGCAATGATGCTATGGCATGTTGGGTGGTGCTTACTAAAGCTACTTAACTTCAATAGAGAGGGACTTAATAGTGATAATCTCCTCCTATTCACCGTAAGTATTCAACAACTTCAGCTAATTTCCGCTAATTTCCAACAACTTCAGCTAATTTCCGTAAGACACTATTGCAAGTGGATATCTGTTTGCCCAGAGTTTTACTTGTAATTTTCTAATCAAATTATGGCCGGGCAAAATTAATATTAAAGTTTTACTGGGTATAATTCATCACCATTGTTAAGAGTCCCACGTCAGACAATATATGACATGAACATGTGTTTATAAGTGAGGGTAATCCTCACTCTACCAACCGGTTTTGTAGGGTTGAGTTAGGCCCAACCACATTTCTCAACATGGTATTAAGTTGTCTAGTCCTGAGCGTGAGGGGGTGTGTTAAGAGTCCCACATCAGACAATATATGGCATGAACATGTGTTTATAAGTGGGGGTAATCCTCACTCTACCAACCGGTTTTGCAGGGTTGAGTTAGGCCCAACCACATTTCTTAACAACTATTACCATTTGTTTATTAAAGCCTCAAATATCATGTGGATCTTAATGTTGGACTTTCCATCTTAATTGCTGTCCGTCCCTAGTTGCCTTATTTGCGGCACTTTGACTTGCTTCATTGCAGTCCTTAACACTTTTATTGTGTTAGCTTTGAAGGGGTGGATTTAGTCCCACATTGCTTAGAGATATATATGGTCTGTGTTGTGTTTAAAAATGGGGGAAATCGTCACCTTATAAGTCGGTTTTGTATGAATGAGTTAGGTCCAACCCAAATTTTGAGATGGCATTAGAGCCTATCCTAGATCTATTATTGGGTTTCCCGCATCGTCCACGCTTTAGGCTCATTGAGGCTCAAGCGTGAGGGGTGTGTTGGGCTTTCCGCCTTAATTGCGGTCCGCCCCTAGTCGCCTTAATTGTGGCACTTTGGCTTGCCTCATTGCAGCCCCTAACACCTTCATTGTGTTAGGTTTGAAGGGGTGAATTTAGTCCCACGTTGCTTAGAGATATGGCCTGTGTTGTGTTTATAAATGGGGGCAATTCTATCTTACAAGCCGGTTTTATAACCAATGTGGGACTCTAACTCACACTTGACTTTATTATTCTCAACATTTCCTCTCAAGTGTGAGTCCAAAATGCTCTCCCTCAAGTGGAAACTTTTTTGTCCACATACATTTGTACCGCCGTTGACATCTTTTTCTGAGCATTTCGATACAAGTAAGTCGGTCATTTTATTCGAACCAAAGGCTCATAATACCATTTGTTGGGTCATGAGGATGAGCATCAACACTGGAGTAAGAGCAACACACAAGTGAGAAAGATACTACATATTCAACCAAAACCTTAAGGTAATAGGTGTGTGGGTTCTTCACTTATAAATACTCAAGTCTCCACTTATTCACACTTTATTATTTTCAACAATTAATTTAGGCAGCATGGCAGTTATTATGCAAAAAGTGTAACATTAATCTCACAATCAGATCATAAAAATGATTAAGCTAAAGTTCGAAAAAAAATATGATTAAGTTGCAAGCTCACAAACTGGCATCTCCTAATGTACTAGGAGTAGAGGCTCTGCCTGCACACTTGTTTTCTGATTTGAAGTTGATCAGTTAAGCACATAAATGAGCATACAACCGATTGAAGTGGATTTATTGTAGAATATGTACGGTATGTTTCAAACAAAATAGATGACAGCTTGGGTGACAGAGTTTGTATGGAGTGAAATCTTGCTAATTGATATGGCTAAAAGGCATTTAATTATCCAATAGTTTTTAAATGCAACGTAAAGATGCATAAATTATGCTTGAGCTATGTCTTTAAATTCTGGAAATTTTGTTTCCATCAACCAACTGCGGGAGAGAAGTCTCAATATAAAATAAAACATTCATAGACTCTCACCTGAAGGCTTAAGCAATTAGAGTAGTTGGTTTGGAACATGATATTAGAGCCCTTAGACCCATTGGTCAAAAGTGCAATCTTTTACTTTAACAATTCACAATTCCCATCTAGAAAAGTGCAATATTCTGTAGTTGGTCTCTTTTCAAATATTGCACAATTTGGAGCACAACATGTAAATGGATTTGCTTTGGTTGGGGCATGAATTGGCTGACTAGTACTTGTTAGGTATATAATAAGTTTTCCAACTAACATTTGATTCATTTTGCTATCAACCACAATATTTTCTTATGCGTTCCCCACCTTTATGCTTAGATGACTAGTACTTGTTAGGTATATAATAAGTTTTCCAACTAACCTTTGATTCATTTTGCTATCAACCACAATATTTTCTTATGCATTCCCCACCTTTATGCTTAGAATGCTTGCAAGCTTGCATGTTGTCTTTCTGGTCTCTTGCAGAAAATCATTAATGTATTTATGTTAAGATATGAAGATTCCTTTCTAGGGTGGGAAACTTCACCAATAAAATAATATAGGTAACCAAAATCTTTCATATGAAATGAGACCTGTAATTGTTGTTTAAGTCGCTGAATGGATGCATGATCAAAACTAGTGAGAACTATATCATCAACACACAGAAGTAGAATAATACCTTTTGTCATGCTATGAATAAATAGAGAGGAGTCATAATGACTCAGAGTAAAGAAGAATCCAAGTGAAGTGGAACGAAATTTCGCATACCGTGCTTTGGGCATCTGTTTCAAACTGTATAAGGAGCGTTTAGCTTGCACACACCCTTAGATGAAGAGAATATATCTTGAGAGGAAGTCATATGAAGAAAGACATTCTTCATATCCATTTAATAAAGACACCACCCACTAGAAGCACATATAAGGAGTAGATTGCGAGCAATTGTCATTTTGGCAATCGATACAAATGTCTCATCATAATCACAATTTCACAGACACCCATTTACAGCCTATTGGTTTTAAAACAGGATGACAAGAACAACCTCCCATGTGAAATTCAATTGAACATCTTGAAGCTCCTCATTCTTTGCCTTTATCTGCAAAACTTTAACAACCTGTGAGTGACAACGAGTGACAAGTAGAAATAAATATGCTAGAGACTGTGGCAATCATAGAAGTATGTAAGGAATCATATCTGTGCGGTGAATATCTATGAAGAGCTCGAGATATTCAACCAAAAAAATGTGGTTCAACAGGTATATAGGGCAAGTGATGAATCATCGTAAGGAAAGGGAACCTGTTTGTGTTTTCTACCATATATATCGTCTGGTTTATAACGTTCTATCCCATAAAGAGGATTAATGTCCCATAAACAGGAGACTTGATTAATTGAATAATTAGTCTTTACAGGAGGGGGATCAATGGTCCTTAGTTATATAATTGAATGTGAGCAATGATGCGTGTTTATTAGGAATTTCCATTTGTAATTACTTTGTATCCAATTTAAGAGCATCTGGTCCTTTATCAATGATATTAGAAAAAGATAGGCACCCCAGATCATTATGAATAAAATAAAACAAAAAAGTACTCATTTTTTCTGATTGGAAGAAAAACACACTTGTGTTTAGCAAGATGATACAACTAACTGAAAAACAATTAAATTAAAAAAAAAATGAAGTAATTGTTTTATGACTCTAAATGAAGGGTGACCAAGGCGACAGGGGTACATAAGGACCTAGGACCTTTTCTCTGTGGTCTTAATTGATTGTAAAAAAAAGAGAGTTGTTGCAGAGTAGATTTGAAGGAATATTCTGGTTATCCAAGTCATAAAGACCATTCCATTCTCTAGCATTTCCAACCATTCTCCCTGAATTCTTGTCCTAAAAAACACATTGTTATAAAAAACAACATTACATGATAGGTCTTTTGTGGGTTTTTATATGAAAAGTAGGTTAGTGGACAGTTTGGGAATATGAAGAACATTTCGTAGGATTATAAATATGCTTATTTGGGCATTTCTTTGACTTGCTACAGTTATATAGGTACCACCTGCTGTGCCGTGGATATTTTTCTGCTGCTAGGACAAGGTGAATAAGTGGAAAAGTGTATGAGTAAGGGCGTTGCTAGTACAAGGTGAATAAGTGGAAATGTGTACGATTATGAGTGTCATATGGTTAGTGGGTACAATATCCAATATCTAATATTGGTTATAGGGTTTATCCGAAGTATTAAATCTAAATGAAAATTGAGACTTATCCAGAGAAAGTGATAATAGAAACACACATGAATGTGCCAGAGAAGTACTTGTTGGTTTCTCCAATTTAAGATCTCAACCTTTCTACTTCACCATGATTGAGTTGAACCAATCTTTCTATAGGCACATTGGTTGTATTGATTGATATCATGCGACCCTGTCTTGCTCAATAGAATAGAAAAGACTAGGAAACGAATCATCGTGGAATAAAAGAAAACAATGAAAGTTATTTACAGCCATAATTTTGTGGCAGTACATGATTGTTTTAATCTGCACATGGATTATAGCTTTATGTGGTTGATTTATTACACCTTTAGTTTTTGATATGATATACATGCTATAGGAATTAAGTATTTGATTTATCCATGCCATTATTACTTCCAAATATCAAGTTGTATTTATGAACCCAAAGTTTTCTAAAGTTTTATAGTTTCTAGTTTCCATTGGCAGACTTTATATGATCAGTCTCGTGCACGCTTTCTGAAAGAACTTGATGGAATTTGGTTTGATCATATTCCAGATGCTCTAAGAACTGAATGGGAAAGCTGTATAAGAGGTATTTATTACTTGGTTCACTTTTAGATTGAATATATATTTGTTGTGTAGCTTGTTTTTTGATCAGTTAACAGTCGTTATATGCTCAATAATGGCTGAACAAATTGCGTAGTTTTTGTAACAAGAAAAAGGAATGAAAAATTCTTGTTGAATCATTGACATTTTATTTTTGGATAGAGTCCACTAGCATCCCTTAATTCAGGTAGCTAAGCCTGTCTGTCTGGATTAGGCTTTGTGGTTGTTGTTGTGCAAACAAAAAAGTATCTGTCTTTGACAAATTATACATATTTTCCTCTAATACACATTCTTCATTTTGCATACAGCTCTTGAACAGTCTTCTCACTATAAAAATCCATTATTTATTTTGGAGCTTGATTTTCACCAACAATCGATCAGCGGTATGGTATTGTCATCTTTGCATGAACTATTAGTTGTTTACTGAATTGGTACTTTCATGTCGATATTAAACGGTATCAAGTATTGATACAATTTCATTAAGAATAAATTGATGTTTATAACAGGAGAAACATCTTCATATTTTGCTTGGCAAAGGATGGATGATGCAATGAAGGTGTTGTTATTTACTGTCTAATTGACTTTCATATTATTTGTTTTACAATTTAATGATCCCTTGTTAATTTCTATAATACACCCAGATGGGTGTTTGTTTTCAAAGAGGATGCAAAACTTAAATTGACTCGTACTTTTCACCTTAGTATTATTAGGATTTGAATTCTCTCCTTTCAAAGTGACTGCAGAGTTAATCTGAACCATTGAAAAAACTAAATGATTTTTTTACTGATGTGTTTTGAGCCATTGGATTTTACACTGAAGCTTCAGATTTGCTTGAACGCGTGAATATGTGTAAATTTGAATGTAGGGAATCTAGGTCCATATTATTAACCATATTTACTAGGTACATCCATGATCTAGTGCTCAACACATCTTTTTTTCTGAATAGTAAATATTGTCCTAGTTGATTAGTAATGACACGAGAGTTCAAGTGACATGGATCATGTGTAGTTGCACATAGGATTCAAGCAATAAAATATGATTGGATGAAATGGACAAATGGTTGCTGTGTAATTTGTAATCAGAAAGTACCATGAGTTCACTCTGATCTGTGCATGTATTTTCCTGATTTTGATGGCTGATGTTAATTTCATCATGCATTTTAGTGTCTCATCTCTACAACCATTGAAGAAAACCTCTGATACTAGTTATTTATTCAGGCATTTATTCTCCACTTCCAGCTGAACACATTCATTTTCAAAAGTGTATTGGCCGATAAGCCTTTGTGGAACACTATTGCCACTTCTACCAATGATTCCGGGGCAAACCAATCAGATGTTTCATCTACTAGCTTTGGGTCCAATGTTTCTTTGGGTGGGCATCATAATTTTAAACTTGGTTGTACCTGTGGCATCAATTATTATTTTTGTTGAATTTCTTACGCTGTGTAACTTCTGCAGAATCCGGAATTCCATGCCAGATTGCATTTTCAAATTCTGAAATTAGAGATGTATATGTAATACCAGTAGCATACGGAATGGTTGGGAAGTTGCTTCTTGCAGAGAAACACCCATTTCGTAGTCGACATGGAGTGGTGATTGCAATTGCTCCACTGGCAGGGTTATGTGTAAGTCAATATTGTGTTAACTTTTTGCTGGTCAGAGCCTAGGTTGAGTTTTTATTTTTATTTTTTTATTTTCTCGTTTGATACAGCCTAAAATTGATGAAGACCACCCCTCGTGGTTGCTTCTTCAAATAAGAAATTTTGACCCACAGTTTTATACAATTAAAGCCAGAGACAACAACTTAAGCATGACCCATCATTTGGCCGATGGGAGATGGACCCTAGGCTTCCTAAATGAAAAAGCATGCAAGGAAGCTCAATTTGCAATTCTAAATGAAGTTACCAAGCAGAGATCAGCGGTGGAGTACATGCTTGCTCCATTACTTCAGAATGATCTCGGATTAGCCGTAGGCAAAGGTAGTTAAAGTTTGTGATAACGAGTTACTGAGTTTACAATTTTCCTCATCTTTGGGATTTGTGTAATCGGGATAAGATTTAAGGATTTGTGTAATCGGGATAAGATTTAAGTTGCGTGTAGTAACTGATATTAGAATGTACAGTATTTCTCGGATATATACGTACAAATAGTATATGTCTCTAGCAGATGACTAACTGATTTCAGGTAGAAATGTGATTCTTTGTTGTGTAATACTTGAATACAATGTTTCTGTAATTCTTGAATTTTGCCTGTTATCTTAATTCCCTTAAATAACTGGCTGCTACCATTTTCACTGTTTAGTATCATATTTTAATGTTAGCAACTTAGCCTAGCTTTTGATTCTGTCCTGTGCTGTGATGTACTAACCCAACAAATTAATGATATTTACACTGCTACTTCCTCTTTAATGTATACTTTCTCTAATACCTTCTGAGTTTCTACTTTTCTTTTTTTATGGCAAAAAAATATTTACTTCCTCTAATACCAAGTCTATGGGCAGTTGGCAATTGGATGAATTAACACAAAATCCATCTAATTCATCCATAAAAAATTTCATCTAATTCATCTATTACAAAAAAAATTATTTACCACATTAAAAATAAGTTAATCCACAAAAAAATTCATCAAATTCATCTATTACAAAAAAATTTATTTACCACCTTAAAAATAAGTTAATTGAATTAAATCCATCTATTTATATGTATGAATTGATTCAATCCATCCTACATATTTTAATAATCAAACAAATTATTTTTATTTCTGTTAGATTTATTTTTTATAAAATGAATTTTAAAAAAAATTGTTTTTTTTTGAAAATTGAAAAATTGATTTTTTGGAAAATACAAAAATTTGGTTTTTTAGAAAAAAATCAATTTAAAAAAAAAACAAAAAATCAATTTTTTCAAAAATAAAAAAAACCGATTTTTTTCTGAAAAAGAATTTTGAAAATACAGAAAATAGAGTTTTTCTCAAAAATAGAAAAATTCAATTTTTCTTTTGAAAAATACAAAAATCTTTTGAAAATACCAAAAATAATTTTTTTTTGAAAATATAAAAAAAAATTTTTTTTCAAAAAATATGGTTTTTTTGATGATATAAAAATTGATGGTTTTTCGAAAATAAAATAAAAATCAATTTTTTTCCAAAATTAAAAAAAAAATCAACTATTTCAAAAATAAAAAATGTTCTTTTTCTTAAAAATAAAAAACAACTTTTTGGGTGAGTGATTATCTATCCACGAAAAATTTACTTATCAATGAATTTGTTTTTTTAATGGATAGATTGAATTGAATAATTTAAAATTTTTTTTGATGGATTGTTAATAAATTAATGAATTCTTTTGTATCATCCATTAACAATTCTATCTATATCCATCCAATTAATTTATTTTGGCACCCCTACTTACATTAACACTAACTAAAATGCATTCTAAATATGTACTGAATTGACACTAGGGATGTGCATGGTAACTATTTAATTTGAACAAACCTATTTTTATAGTTATGGTATATAAAGCAAACTCCTTGTCACAAAAAATAGTTGAAATTTATAATCGAATCTAAATTAGTTTAAAATCGGTTCTAAATAAATTTCAATTTTAATTCAAATTATTTAATTAAATTAAAATTTTATTTTTATTAAATTAATATCATTTATAAATTCAAATACTTAAATAAATTTTATGAGATTTTAAAATATATTTTTTTAAAAATTAAAGAAAATTCAAATTTTTTTTCTCTCTCCCTATTTAAGTTAATCAGTATGTTTAATGTTCTTATATTCAGTGTTGAGTTTAGATTAAATTTTGAGGAGTAGGGGTCTCGGATTATATAGTTTAAAGTTACTTTTTTTGGAGTTCTACCTATAATTAGGATGGATAAATTAAGAAGGTTTTACATATTTTTACAATTTAGATTTTAGATTTGAAGATGACTTTCAGATTTTAGACTTATATTCTAATTTTGACATCAATGGATAATTGAAAATATGATTAACATTATATATCCGTTTATTCTCATTAGTTTTGAAGTTTTGGTGAAATATTTTATGGATGAAGTTAGTGTTTATTTCCAACGCTATTTTCATATATGGTAAAAATTGCAGCACTGAATTTGCATTTTTGTTTTTCATTTTGAAAAAAATTCTGAATTTCTTTTAAATAATTTTTTCATGAAATTAAAAAATTTATTTTAAAAGATTTCAAATATAAAATTGATTTATAATGTGTATATTATGAAAAAAAAACATATAAATTTAATACATAATAAAATTTGGGTAACCAATAACTAAACCACATTATTATTATGAATACCGGTTTATATTTAAATAACAAAATGAATATCCACATTCAAGTTTTAGCATTTGGTTTAAATTTTTAAAAATAAAATATTTAGATATCAATTTGATTAAATATAATACCCGATTTTTTTCACGCTCCTGAACTGAATTGACAAATTTCCACCTATCAATTTTTGGTTCTGGCTTATTAGTAAGAAGAGTTTTGTTCTTACAAACAAGAAGGGACAAAAGACCCGTCTTCTTTGACAGGAGACATCACATTTTAGGAAAATTTCTAACTGAACCCTATATGCAGTTGAAAAGCACCATTTAAAAATTTAAAAGTGCCTTTAAAACACCATTTGTTTTCCTCTAAAAGAATATCTAAATTGTATCAAGATCGTTAAACTCGATGAATCCAACAATAAGACCCATATGGACTCAAATACACAAGTTCTCTTCATTCTTGGTAAAGAGAGCCAACACTATGTCACCTATAGCAACATCCGCTGCGCTTTGTAGATCTTTGACTTAGATGCGTTCTAAACTCATTTTTAGATAGAGCCGTCTCAAGTTTTTGGAAGCTATGTATATAATAGACACAGTATAATTTTCTCTCCCTATTTGAGTTAATCAGTATGTTCAATGGTCTTATATTCAATGTTGAGTTTAGATTAAATTTTGAGGGGGAGGGGTCTCATATTATATAGTTTAAAGTTACTTTTCTTGGAGTTCTACCTATAATTAGGATGGATAAGTTAAGAAGGTTTATATTCTTACAATTTAGATTTTAGATTTGAAGATGACTTTCAGATTTTAGACTTATATACTAATTTTGACATCAATGGATAATTGAAAATATGATTAGCATTATATATCCGTTTATTCTCATTAGTTTTGAAGTTTTGGTGAAATATTTTATGGATGAAGTTAGTGTTTATTTCCAACGCTATTTTCATATATGGTAAAAATTGCAGCACTGAATTTGCATTTTTGTTTTTCATTTTGAAAAAAAATTCTGAATTTCTTTTAAATAATTTTTTCATGAAATTAAAAAATTTATTTTAAAAGATTTCAAATATAAAATTGATTATAATGTGTATATCATAAAATATGAAAAAAAACAAACATATAAATTTAACACATAATTGTTGCACTTCAAAATTTGTCCAACATTTTTTTCTTTAACTGGCTTTTGTTTCTTTGCATTGTTCTAGCATTTGCATTGCATATCATGTTCATTTAGCAGGGGATTAGGAGGTGAGACTAACAAGATAAGGTCACCAGGGGTTTTGAGCCTAAGCAAGGAGTTTTACTTAAGCATGAATGGTCATCAAGTCATTAGGAGGTGGTCAAAGTTTTGTGAAAGAGTTGATGAGTGTATGTGGAATATCTCCTAACTTGGAGACCAGTTGAAGATCATCAGAGGATTGTGAATTCATGATTGTGGATAGGGGATGTTGAGAAAGCTCAGCGAGTGCTTTGAAAGCCATGTGAGAGCTTGTTCAAGTTGTTGTGTCATTTGGAAGAAGCCACAGTCAAGAGTGGTGCACCTAGGGTTTTCATCTGGTCAACCCTAGTTCAATTGTGAAATTAAAGGAGATTAAAACTCAATTCCAGGTCTCTATGGTCATGGGATGTTATTTTGAGATGCCTAATATTTCATGTCAAGATCAAATCAAGAAGAATCAAGAGTGTGAGAAGTTACTAAATTAGGGTTCTCAGTGTAAAATCCCCTGTTTAGTGCTCAACTTCAAGACCACCTATCTCAAGACACAAGTCTCATCTCATCTTGACCCTAACATGAAACTTGTAGAGCATGTTTCTAGCTTTCGTTTGAGTACTAGAAGTCATTCATCTGATTTCTAAAACTCATGTTATGATGCTGGCAAGTTACAGGTTCTCAAATGAATGTGATTTTGGTCAACAAAGGTCAACCAACTTCCAAGCCAAATTTGACCTAGAAGGATGTTTCTCCTCACCTTGACCAAAAAAATGAAAGTTGTTCCTCATGATCTTAGCTTTCCAAAGAGTACTAGAAGTCCTTCATCTGATTTGTAGAACTCAAGTTATGAGGCTTGCAAGACAGGGGTATTTTGGGAAAGTAAGATTACAAGTCATTTTCATTATAAGTCCATTTCACCACTTTACACACTTCAAATGAAAATCTTTCCAGCATCACATGTGCTCCAAATGGGGTCATTTGTTCAATAAAACATCAAGGAGTCATGGATTTGGCTTGGATTGAAGAATTGGTGAGAAACTTTTTCATGAAGAAAGCTTAAAATCATAAAATGCAATTAATTGATTTTTAATCATTTTAAGGCAACCTTATGCATTTTTTTTAGTCACAAAGATGAGATAAACAAGATGAACACATTGGATTTTGGTTTTGGTACCATTTTCATGTGTTTTTCAATTTCCATTTCAAGTGAAATTTTGGTAATCAAATCTCAACCATTTGATCAAACCAAGGCTTGAATACCACCATTTGATCAATATGAGATCCCAGCAAGCTAAATGAGTGATTTTCTAAAGGTTTCAACTCAGTTTTCGTGCACATTCATGAAGCTCCATGTGCAAATTTCTTGGATTTCAATTGGACCTAAAATCATTGCAATTGGGCCTCAATTCCCTCCAAATCCACCATATTTAACTTCAGAATCATTCACAATGCATCAGAAGGAATTTTGGTGAAGAATTGCTGAG